AAATGAGCTGTGGTTGGATTAGATTTAGATTGAGTTTAAATTAATTAAATTTAAATTTAGATTACGTTTAAATTAATATATATAAGAAATTTGTTCGTTATTATTTTGGTGCAATGTATAGAAATGAGTCAAAATTTCAACTATATTTACTAATTAATAACTTTTTAGAGAACAACGAGCGTAAAATTTCTTGAGCGTTACTCAAGAAAATGTCTTTGACAATATATGTATGTGAAAATCATCGAATCACAGATAGATTAAATGTTTAATTACATTTACTATAAGTCGAATTAAGGTCATACTTAATGTTTACACACATATATGTAAAATTTAATATTTAATTTTTAAAAATGTAAATACATAATTTTAATTGCATTAAGTTATGTTGCATCATGTAATATTATTTCATTACACTAATTCTCACTACAAAAAATGCTTTTGATTATCTTTCCTCTTGTCTTGATTAATTTTACGTTCAATTTTTTCAAAATTTTGTAACTTTTAATTAAACAATTCATTAAATGTTGATTTTATGTGCTTGCTCTCATAATAAAAATTTAAACAATATAAATTCTCAATTATAACCTTTAATTTTTTTAAAATTGTTCCTAGTATAGTTTGTATAGTTTGTCCAACATTATTATTATGCTGGCTAAGTTATCAGTTTGATAGTCAGTTTTGCAATAAAGTTTTATTTAGATAATAAATTTGTTGATTGTAGACATCTGTATTGCAATGTGATTTTGATTTAATAATTTTTAGCTAATTGGACATTTAATATCTTATCATATCTAGAATAAAGTGTAAATGTAGATGAAATTCTATTTCAGAGCATGATATAAATATTTAAGTATGTGAAATATTAATATTTATGTTTAAAATTGTTCTATAAATATTCATTTTCCTTCCATTAGTAACAATCGAAAAATAAATGATTGCTTTATCGATACTTGAATTAAACATAAATGTTCATTTGCTAAATGCAATTAGTTATCGACAAATTCCATACAAACTCCATTTTCTAAATTTTGATATTTATTCAAATTAATTTATAAATGTTAATTTACGATATTACTACCAATATAATTTTTTAGCTATTTCCTTGGTTTATTTAGTATTATATGGAATTTTTTTTAATTAGAGTCTATAACGTTTTAAAGAATTTTTCGTAAATCTATTTAACAGTATTTTACTTATTTTTAAAACTTATACAACATATACGACTGTATGTTGTATAAGGCTGCATATAATTTTTATAGACACTGAATTTATAATTTCTTTAAAAATTAAAAATATCGATTTAATTACTTTGAATATATCTTGCAAGCTATTAAGAATTTCTCAGGGAAAAAAATAGGAAAAAATTCAAATTAAAAACATAAATACAGATATTTACATGAAATAAACTGACATTACTTATAACGATATATATATATAATTAGATTAACTTTGATCGTAATAACTTTGACACATTATATTCGTTATCTTTAAAAATAAAAGGAAATTATATTTATAAAAACTATATGATACAAATCTTTGATTATTACTATACTCATGTTTTTGTAAGCGAAAACTTTTTCGGAGATTTCAAAATCACTTGTATTCTTCTAAATAACTTGCTATATATTTTATTTTTGATGCAATAAAGAAACAGTTTAGTTACTATATTTTTTTTTTTTTTTTTTACCAATTTCAATGATTTCTGATATAGGACCATCCGAATTTTATGTTATATATTCATGGAAATTTTGTACATATATGTATGTGTATAAATACTAATGAAAATTTTTCACTTACAAAAAAATGATTATACAATTTTTGTAATTCATATTTTCAAAAATAACCAAAGTATAAATGAGAACAATTGTTATCTTATATAATGGTGCAGTTTATGATGTACAATTAAGCTGAACTGAATTAAATCGTACTGACCTATAAAAATATAAAATTGAATTCTTCATCTGCAAATATGAATTATTTTACAATTCTCTTAATTACTTTACGAAGGTCTTAATAAAAAATTTTAATAAAAAAAATTAGTAAAGAACTCATTAAGAAGATTTTAAATTAAAATTCTCTACAATTTTTGTCATATATGTATATATATGTAAATTTCACCATATTTGCATATGCAATATAAAATATGCTAACGGGGAATAATATGCAGAGACATACGATATAAATGGAATATTTCATCGAAGTTTGTAAATAAATTCTGATTAGTAATTATTTTACATCGAAATTCTGTCAAATGCAAAATTGAAAATGCATATAGATGTACAAATTTGGCTAGTAATTTCGTAAAATAAAATATTAATTTAGTTGGAAATGTCAATATTTTGTAAAATTATCGAATTATTAAAATAACATAAGATGTTAAAACATTAAATCATAATTTCGTTTAATTTTATATATTAGATCGTATGAATGTAAATATATTATTGTTAAACACTGAATGAAAATAAAATAATGAAATAAAAAATGAAAATAAAATATGGACCATACAGTGCATTTGAATTTGAATTTTTATCCTAATTGTGAATAATTTACAGCAACGCGCATTTGAATTTGAATTTTTATCCTAATTATGAATAATTTACAACTTTAAATATGGAGACTTCTCTCTTTAAAAAGCGATAGTTTATACGTTTAAAAATAATGGGATAGACTGATTGCGAATAAAATGAAAAATGTGAAAATTATTATAAAAAATGGATATATAAAACTTCATACTCATTTTTCTCGCGACCATATTTTCTGGTGTCAGTAATAACTCTTCAATGGATTTTTATGAAGTTGGGTGATGATACTTTATTATCTATCTTGTGATGCATGATATTTTACTTTTTAAATCAGCTTTTGCAAAAGTACGAAGAAAATTTATATGAATATCACAAATAACAGCATTTCTTTTTTTAAATATCGTAATCTCTACAATTTTTCTATAATTTTTAATATTTGATTACATGAGTTATATTTTAAACACAAGCATTGACACATTTTTTTACTTGTGCATAAGTGTATTGAAAGAAAAATTAATTATGGACCTAGAGAGTTTTAATATTATCAAAATAATATAATTTTTCAAAATCAGGGTTCTTCATATAGTTATTTTAACTTCGAAATCTTTCTTACGCTTATTTCAATGTTCTTCGTAATTTTATAATAAACGATTATTGTCCTTATATTTAGATACATCTTCTTTGTAAAAAAAAATTCAAAAATATATCATCATGACTTCTAAATTATATAAAATGTAGAAGATAAAATTATATAAATATTTCAATTAAATCAATTATCATTTAAAATCTTTATTTTTTTGTGATTTCTTCATTAATTAATTTCTTTATTAATTTACAGCATTTGGAATTTTATATTCGAAATTGGAAATTTATATTTAAATTTAAAATATTTAAAATCTCAAATAACTATTTCAGATTTTGGAAATTGCAGATATAAAATAATCAGAATCTCATACATTTCAATAAGTAATCGAAATTGATGACTAATATAATTCAATGAAAAAGAATTTTACAGAAAATGACATATAAAATGTACGGTAAAATTGATTTTAATAGGGCTCCAAATAAAATTGTCTTCTTAAGGAACAATAACAAACAATAAATTTTGTAAATTTCTTTACAAAATATTTAACATTTACATAAAACATTTATTATTGTAATATCGTAGTTATTATATACATTTATTATTGTAATATCGTAGTTATTATATACATTTATTATTGTAATATCGTAGTTATTATATACATTTATTATTGTAATATCGTAGTTATTATATACATTTATTATTGTAATATCGTAGTTATTATATACATTTATTATTGTAATATCGTAGTTATTATATACATTTATTATTGTAATATCGTAGTTATTGTAATCTGTAGTTATTTTAGTTACGTTTGGTTATAACATATGGCCGGTAATGTTTACTGATCATAGAAATGCGTAAACGAGAAAAAATATGAATGTTATGCAAGAAGCACAACATTGGCATGGAGCGTTTTTTCTTTTTGAAAAAAGAGAGAGTCGGGCGAGTTGAAAACGGATTGGAATCGGGAAAAAGCGTCAAGAGAAAGTCGTTAAAAAAGTCGATTGTGTTGTTAAAAGAGATTATTTGAGTCGTTAATCTGTGTTATTTATCTTGTCTAATTATTTATTATTTAATAAACATCATTTATATTTTATCTCTATATTATTTGTTATTTTGTTTATAAATTTATACAAATAATAGAATTATTCATATGTAACAGATAATCACAGTTATATTCAAATAAAATTCATTAATATAATAACTGAGATAAAAGTAGAACATTCAAGAAAATACAATGAAAATATATTAAATATAAAAATATATTTAAGAAAATTGTTATGAAATATTGCTTCTTAACTAAATTTGTAACAAAGATCAGTCTTAATTAGTGAGAAACAATCCATCCATGTCGGATACCGTGGAATAAAAGAATTATACACTTTTAAAACGAAAGAATTATACACTTTTAAAACGAAATTGTAAAGAAGAAAATTACTTGAATACCCTTTGAAATTGTTGCATGTACAATGAAATTATTATATGTAATGTATCTGTGCTTGTTTGATATTGAATCAAAAGTTTGCAAATATTTTGTAAACTTTTGATTCAAAAAAGTGTTAAATATTTTTAACATAACATAAAATATAATAAATAAACAATAAAATAAAATATATACGTTTTAAAAATATACATTATGTATTTAAAATATGTATTGTATATTAAAACATGTTGTAGTAAAATTGTTTATATGTTGTATAAATGAAAAACTTTAATTTAATAAGTATATATTATAGAACAAGAGACACTTTCAATTTTATTTTAAAAATTTCTTTTTATATCGAGATATATGTATACATGATACGTAAATACCTTCAACGATATATATGTTGGAATATGTTATTATAATTATGTGTATATTAACATGATTGAATTCAAAATAAATCACTCACCAATTACCACGGCTGAAGTAATCACTGGGATCTGTAAGAAATATAAATATATTTTTATTTATATAATTTTATGTTACATACTTTATATGTTATATGAAATGAATATTTCAAAATTAATTTTGAAAATTTATAACATACATTTATTAATTATAAATAAGTTTGAATATGTTCGAAGTCTATTTTTTTGAAAATGAAGTTTTAAATGACAAAATGTTATTCTTTCTTCTCAATTTAATTTTGCACGTAGAACCACTTTCTAACCAATCGTACCATCAGTTACATGATACCTTATATATTTAATTTATAGTACATGATGGAATCTAGAATAATCTACATCTGTTAAATCAAGATGACTTTAAATATTCAATTTTTTTTCTTTCGTTCATTTACAGGATTTCTTGGATTGTTGTTGTTTAACCCTAATATTTAAAGTTTATGTATAATAAAATATTGAAAGAAAATCGTATAGCAAGTTCAAATGCTTGTTGTAAAGGAAAAACTTTAGTCATCAAAATAATGAACTTAGGCACGAAAAAAATCTTCGATATTTTTAAAGATGTTTAAATTTTTACAATTTTTCGAAAAAAATATTCTCATTTTTCCACTTATTACATAACGTAAAATCATTTTGAAAGAAATGAACTCTGTTAGAAGTACAGATTCTATAAAATGAGATCAAATAGATTGTTATATCATGTAACATATATTGTTATTATATGATTATTATATGGTTTTCATTATCGATAGTTTTTCATCGTTATTTGTTCAGTTTATTCTTCATTATACAGGATGGGCACTGAAAAAAGAATTTGAAGTCATAAATATATTATATATATATATAAAATGTATATCATAAATATCCAAATGAAAAAAAATAATAAAAAGTTTATAAAACATGTGTTTGTAAAAGTTATTTTTGTTTCATACCATTCAGTTTTTCAGTGACTGTATATATTTACATAAAATTGAAAAGACAATATTATAAAAATATAAAAGAAACTCAATGATCCGAACATTGATTACTTGGATAAATATTGAAGGTATCTCAGTAAATACATCAGCAAAGTTATTAATTTTAAAAAAATATACAATTCAGCAGCTTATTAAGATTAGGAGAACAACAATGATTAAAAAATATACATATATAAAACATGTTATATGTAATAAATTTTGATTTTTCATGTACATATACATATTATATAATGCGAATTTCATAATGTTTGTTTTTCAATTATTCGAAAAATTTATCTGGTTGTTCTGAATAGAATTAGTTCGAATAATTAAGGTTCTACTATAATTTCTCAATCAGTGAATTATTTATAATGAAAATTTAAATCAAAATTCATCAGACGTTTTGAAGTGTATATTATCTTTATAGTGCAGAAATAATACAAAATGCGATTACCTCATTAATTATTAGATTACATTATTACATCAATATCAACGCATAATATTTCAGAGCATCTACTTTAGTTAAGGAAATTAGATTATTCTTGTTGTTAAATATTGTAAAATGCTGCTGTATCATTGAAATCTTTGTTAATATTACAAGAGTAATATTATACGAAGAAAATTTTCGATAGTGCGTGCGTGCATGTGTGTAATCTATATTAAAAGAGTCAGTTCTAAAATTTTCTTGAATCATTCAGAACTTGAAAATTGAAATACAGAGGTAATAAGATAAAGTATATCTACATAAAATTCATATGAGGTTTTTTCTTTATATTAGTGTATAAACTTACCTCTTAAAATATTGACATATATAAATCGTTCTTCAGGTTTGCATTTTTTCAACGTTTATTATTCTCGAATTTGATTATAAAAAGTCAGTCATTTTATTCGAAGAAACAAAATTATTCTTTGACATTCATGCTTTTTTAATTTTTAAACCATAATCGAGCTATATACTTATACACAAGACATTTTAATTTTCTTAGTGAATATATCTTAATAGATCAGAAACCAGCAAGAAAATGTTTTGGAGGAAAATTATATGACAAGGGGACAGATTATTTATTTGACCTCGCGATAAATTTGAAAAAAATTACAAAGATCAATATTGAATTTTTAATTTAGAACCTGTACTTTTTATTATATATTTTTTGTTATAATTGACATCGAAAAGAGAATTATCTGCATGTATTTTGTGTTTAAACCGTTCTCGAGATATAAACGTTTAATGGCATTAATATTACTCGATGTACACCATGAGAAGATTGCACAATCGATCTTAAGAAAACCGATTATGTGTATTACAATATTAATAACTACGTTAGCCAATGAATATTCAAATTCTCGATACAATTTACATCAATAGACATTTTCTGAATACTGTTCTGCCATCTTCATAAACATCTCCATCTGCTTAGCTTTCGCAATTTACATATTCATCACAAATACGAGCAAATGTTTATATAGCTTAAAAGAAGCATTAAATTAGCAACGAATTATTTCTATTTCAGATCTTATTCAACTTCGTAACGTATACAATTATGATATATCTCCATATAATTGAATTCAATTTCAAACATAAGCATTCATTGAACATTTGGACACAATCCGAAATTCAAAATATTCTTCAAGGATTCGACTACGTCAAGAGAATAATTTACTGAGCAAGAATAAACGATCACTTGAGCTTAAATTTAGTTGGAATAGAGATTCAATGAACATTCGCTTGCTTGATCTATAAGTACTATAACAAATAACACCAACTTCATTAAATCAACATGAAAATTGTTTGTCTATATGTATAAGGTGGTCACGAATTTATTAGTCAGCGTTATTCTCGCAAATGGTAATTATGAGAAAAAAATACAAAAAGGAAAAGTAATATTGTTTTCTGTAAGTATTCCACGATGATGTGGAAAATTTTCTGGTATTTTCACTGTTTTTTTAAAAATGAAGATAACCTTCAATTTTAAATAGATATCTTGTATCCTATAAAAATATAAATCAAGACGAATTTAACCATCTGCCAAAAGAATCTTCGAAATCACACAAGATTAAAAATAAAACTTTAGAAATATATTTCTACATATTAATAAACAAAATAGTATGAACTACTGCAAATCTTTTATTTCATTTTTAACTTTGTATGATCCTTAAAGTCGTTGTAGTTTTGATATAAACTTTCATATAATACGAAGCATTCATTCATATAAAAACAACAAATAATAAAATAATCTTTAATAATCTTTTATTAAAAACATTTTAACTCATCAATAACATTTCGATTTCGAATGAAATATTTAAACTCTAATTTACATTTAATTTGAATAAATTTTTATTAAGTTTTAATTATGATATAAGTTTGACAACATAAGTTTTAATATAATATATTGATTAATTCTGATAACATGATTCTAAAATCATTTGATTACAACGTTACTATACTTCGTTTGACTGCAACTTTATTGTAATTTTATTCCATGCAATTTTACTGCAAATAATTATGTTGTAACTTAATTCCATATACAGACATATGATGTACCCAATTGTAATTATAATTTGATTGGTATTTTATTGTACTTACTACAAAAGGAACAAATCTTCTATTTCTATTTTGAGAATTATTTACATTGTCATTTTCTTTATTTATTAAGATTTTAATTCATCGTGTAAATATTAAACAATGAAAAGCTATCGAATAATCATGTATTTTTATACATTTGTTACATGTCGCATTGTGGTGATATGTCAGACTCAAATTCTCTAATCTATTTTACTTTATTGCGTATTATTTACTACATTAAAAAGTAGTAATGTATGTAATAACGTTAAATGCATCTTGTTTTTAACAAAATTAAACAAATGGAAAAGTCGACGATAAAATTTATAACATACATTTACACATTACACATTTACACATAAGTGCTATAAATTTACATTGTTGATTATAATATAAAAAAAACCTATTAAATCGAATATTTGGAAAGTATTTCTAAATCATCGCTAATATAAGATATCTATAATGTCTGTAATTAATGTAATAATAATAAATAATATTAATTGCAAATTTACTTGATATTAAACACTTGATTAAATTTTATGATATACAAACTAACAAAATCTACGTTCATGGAAAAAGTAAACTACTGATTTTGTATTTATTAATATCATCAATGATATTAAAAATCCAAAAACAATTACCATAGTAGAAAATAAAATTTTGATTCTTACAGTTTTCTTTTGTAAGTATAGAAAGATTTTCATTATCTTAATAATTTTATATTTCAATGAACACAGATATGCCATGAAGCATATCTGTAATGCAAAATATTTTCCTCAAGTAATCAATCCTGTGCGCATTCTCTAATTAGACTTAAAAACCTATAAATATACAAAACTTTCTAACTGCTCGATAGAAAGGTAAATTAATATTCCGTACGAAATTTTGTACGCAGAAGATTATTTAATTATCAGAGGAAAGAGGAGTGAGTGAAAAACGTTAAGAATCGCAGTAACGTATGATCGAATTGGTCGTTTTCACGCATACGCGAGGTCATCCGCCAACACATTTTAAAAAGAATTGGAAGCGAACGAAGGCGTTACGACACGGCAGCATAGAGGTGGAAGCGGTTCACAGGGTGGCCAACAAAAAAAAAGCACACGTGACATCTGCCGTCCATCCAGGCGAAGCTTTTTTGTAATAAAGCGACGAAATCCCAGAAAAACCGTCATCGCGGATTAAGCGGCCGCCGATATTAAAGCGCAATCTGAAATTCGACGGCGGCGCTGCCCAGAGCAGCATGGAGAAGCAAAGAGAAAGTGAAAAAGAGACAGGGAGAGAGAGAGAGAGAGAGAGAGAGAGAGAGAGAGAGAGAGAGAGAATAGGGAAGGAAAAAAGGGTTCAACGAGTGCATCGGCGCATCAGCTATTATTTGCGCGGCAAATGGTCGTTTAATGGTTCTCGTTGCGTATACATGGAAACGAACGTCTGCCAATCGCGGTGTCGCATAATTGTTTTTGTAAAGTGCACACTTGAATACTGCCATGATACAAAATAGCTGGCCAACCGAGTATCACATA